CTCTCCAGAGCCGATGAAGTGCCTCTGAAGATCTTGGCCCATAACAACTTTGTGGGGCGCCTGATTGGCAAAGAAGGGCGAAACTTGAAGAAAGTGGAGCAGGACACAGAGACAAAAATCACCATCTCGTCGTAAGGCTCCTCACTCCCTTCGGGGATACCAGGGCAGCCCTTCCTCAGGCTGGGGCAGATGGGGAGGATGAGGAGGAGACGGGTGATGTGATGAATGGGCAGAGATGCCTGCAGCGTGGGTGCTTTACGCCCCAAAGCTCTCTCGACAAATCTTGGCTTTACGTTTTCTGTATTTCCCTCCCCATCCCTTTGGTGTCCCCTCCCCATCCTTGTGATGTCCCCTCCCCATCCCCTCAGGGCTGCAGAGCTCAGGACCAGCTGATTTGGTGGCCAGGACTGCGGTTTTACTGTTAAGCCATGTTTTTGGGTGAAGGCAGAGTGGACTTCCCAGTGCCAACCAGGATGCTGGTCCCCACTCTGACTGGGACCAGGCAGTCCCAGTACCCGGTGACAGTGGCACCCTGTGTCCCTGGCACCCCAGGCAGTCCCAGTACCCGGTGGCAGCGGCACCCCCGGTCCCCGGCGCCCCCGTAACAACCACCAGAACAGAAGGGCTGGAGGACCCGGCGTCGTGCTGGTCGGGCAGGGCAGGGTCTGGGGGCTGACACTGGCTTTCCCATCAGCTTGCAGGACCTGACTCTGTACAACCCCGAAAGGACCATCACGGTGAAGGGCTCCATCGAGAACTGCTGCAAAGCAGAGCAGGAGATCATGAAGAAAGTGAGGGAAGCCTACGAGAACGACGTGGCCGCCATGAGCGTGAGTGGGGCTCGGTCCTGCCCTGCGCCTCGGCTGCCGGGAGCTCTCTGGAGGACGCCCCGATAGAAGCACTGAGCTTCTCTCTCCTCTCGCCCTCAGCTGCAGTCTCACCTCATCCCTGGCCTTAACCTGGCTGCGGTCGGCCTCTTCCCTGCCTCCTCCAACGCCGTGCCTCCTCCGCCCAGCAGCGTCTCTGGGGCCGCGCCGTACAGCTCCTTCATGGTAAGGGGACACCCAGCGGCTCCAACCGCTCCAGCCTCCAGCCCCCTGCAGGGGGAGAAGCCCCTCGCCATGGCCCGGGTGTGCCCC